CAAAAGGGTACTGATGAGTAGCGATAATCAATGACTACAAATGGAAATAATCAAGGGGAAAAATGGGAGAAAGAAGAAAGGGCAAAATTAGCAATGAGTACACAGAAGGTGAGAAGAGATTACTTACACAGTATTATCACAAGAGCGCAGAAGATTACGTACTTTTGAAGGGTAACAGCAAATTTTGGTTATCATCAAAAGAGCGAAAGAGGTTATCAGGTACACTCAGTGCGCGCAAGCACACACACACACACACACAAACAATCGCAAGAGAAATTCGCAGTCAATTTAGTTAGTTTGCTTAATTGCAGCAAATTCTCACTCTTCTTCTTCTTCTTCTACTTCTTTGTACTGATTATCACCACAACATAAACAGAAGAAAAAACGTAACGAGAGAGAAAGAAGAAAAGAGAGACAGTAAACAGAAGCGTATAGCAACACAACAAAGAGAGAGAGAGAGAGAGAGAGAGAGAGAGAGAGAATCAGTCAGCAGAGGTTGCAGCAACTGTTTCTGCTGCTGCAAATGTTTTTTGTTATTGGCACACACACACTGTGTGCACTGAATCAGTGGTAGTGGTAGTAGTGGTGGTACATCAGTGCACCACTGAATCCTCACACACACACACACAGTGAAGGCCAAGAAGAAGAAGACCACCAAAGTGAGGGATAAGGAGAAGGAGAGCAAAGAGAGAAAGGCAGAGTGTGATGCTACAGCCAACAGCCAACAGCCAACAAGCGCACACCGTCGCCATCTAAGGGAGTGCACTGGAGAAAAAACAGTGGCACTGAAAACGCATTCATTCACTCAACTCAACTCACTGCGTAGTAGCAGTAGAGGTGCTGCTGCTGCTGCTAAAGCAGGCAAACCTTGCAGCTTGCAGAACACGGTGTGGTGACACACTACTGCTGGCAACCTTGTATCGTTTTGGCTTTCTTTATTTCTCTCTTTTTCTCTTTCTTTTTCTCTTTCTCTCACTTTACCTACCATTTTTCAGTTTTTTCAAGCCTTATATTTCACTGACACTGGTAGTATCAGTATGCAGTGGTGTAGTGACGCAGTAGTTTAAGTTTAGTAGTAGTGGAAATGTGCTGGCTGGTTAGCTGCAGAGCTGTCACCCTTATACCAGGCCATTTGCTGTTTGTTGCAATTGGCAGTAGGAAGCTGTGTACAGACAAACAGTCAGAAAACGGTGGTCGCTTAAAAAACTGCACTAATGGTTAGCGTGATTGAGAGCTGATGGAGCTAAGAGCAGTGAAATGGGGAGTGAATGGGCAAATTGCAGCAATTTTTTTCAATCATTTGATAGACTATTTATTGATTATTTTTTTCAATTTTTTAGGTTGCAAAAGTCGGTTGCAATCAAAGTGAGAAAAAAGTTGCTGCTGGCTTAGCAGTGGTTACCAATAAACCGATTTAGCAATTGCCCCTTTTTCCTGGTAAATGGCTTACTTACGCTGCAAACTAAAATAGATTTAAAATACCAGTTTGAATACAAAAACCGACAAAAAATCATTATGGTGTTAAACAAAGTCAAATTCTTCTAATTGGCAAAGTTTAATTAGCTAAAGTAATAAGATTACAAATTGTCGCCAATTATCATCTTATGCTTCAAACTTTTGCCTTTGCCCTTTTCTGTTGCCGCTGCTGCAGCAGCAACGTCTGTACAGCAGTGTAACCGTACAGAATCTGCAGCAGAAAACTTGGTCTCTCATTTTTTCCTTGAGGAGCAGAAAAGAGAACAGCAGAAGTACAGCTACCATTTTGCTTGCTGCCGTCGCTGCCGCTGTCAAGTAGACTCAACACAGCAGAGGAGATCAACGAACAACAACAACAACAAAAAGCCGCAGTTGAGAAGAAGGGCAAGGGAGAGAGGTGACATTCAATGAGGCAGACTACGTCAAGCGTCAGCAGCAGCAGCCTGAACTAGACTGCTCTTTCCGCCTTTTCCTTCTTTTCCTGCAAAAAGAAGCTTAGGCAGCCATTCTCTCTCTCTCTCTCTCTCTCTCTCTCTCTCTCTCTNCTCTTTCTTTTAATTTTCCGCCTGCAAGCACCAGCAAGTGGCGACAAGCAGTTGACGACCACTGCATCAGCTCAAAGCTCCAAAGCTCCTTCTGCTTGCTCCCAAAGCTTACCTCGGTAATTTAGCTGACGAAAAAACTTAGCAGCTCCTCAGCTGCTCAGCCTGAGTCAACTAGGCGGCAAATGGGTGACTGTGTGGAAAAGTAGAGCGGATAGAATAGGAAGCGGAAAAAAGGTGGAAAAAGATTGCAAATGAAGCCTCGTTCTTCTTGTCTTCCACATTGTGTTGTGTTGCCTAGTTTTTGCTCCTAGTTTTGCTTTTTTCTTTTTCTCTTTCTCTGAGACAGACAGCCAGAAAGCGATCAGGAAAAGGAAGAGAAGAAAGGCAGAAACTGCTGAGGGCTACTTTTTCAGCCATTTTCTCTTGTTTTCTCATTTTCCTCT